AACAGTATTTTCTGCTTAGTCCCACCTACATGTCCATATTCAGCAACTATGAATCACAGTAGAACTTGTTTTGGGAGGGAACTTAAGTTTTGACTTCAAAAGTCAAATCTTACTAATTGCCTGTTTGGCTTTGGCTGAAGCCCAAGAAAAGTAGAAGTCAAGCACCAGTTAAATACTGTGATTGCACTGAGACAGAATGCAGCAATCTGCTTATTAAAATTGGCTCTAGCAGCTTCCTAGAGCACTTAACATGTTGCCATATGTAGTGTGTGTTACAGTAATGTTATGAGACACGCCTGACTAAAATCCTTCCCCTCAAGTGCCAGAGTGTGCTCAAGGCAGCTTTCTAATCAGCCAGCAGGCATTACTGAGGCTGTGACCAGACTCCCCAATGAAAACCAGAATAACAAAGTCTGTACAAACCAGCTGACAGAAATACATATAGCGTGTCTTCTCTTTGCTTCTCCTGCTTCCTCCCTACCCCTGCCTCAGAGCTTTCTATACTTGTAGCATCAGCAGGAGATCTGGCTTTATGGATTAGCCAGCTCGTCTTTAATGAAATACCAGACTGTTATTTTTATCTGTTCCACGCACCCATTCTGTACAGTGCTAGTGCAGGGGCCAGTTCAGCTTTTCTCTCCGTCCACAACTGTGAGATTACTCCTGACAGGACTCCTATTGTGTTTTACCTTTGCTTTTCCTTTAAATTTTGTATGGAGAGCTTTTAAATTGTCAGCATTGTGTTGTTGGCCCATCCTGAAATTATTTCCTATTTCCAGGTAGAAAAGTCTATGAAAAATATAGACTTGGTTGTCAGAGAAAGAGAAATTGCTTTGAGGCTTTTACAAACTGGCCATGAAAAGCCAGCACCTGGCGAGTGGAGACGTGACTTCTTAGGACGCACCTACTGGTATGGAAAAAGAGAACTTTTTTTTCATGTGTGTGAATTTCTCTTGTGGTACGTGGCTCTTTGCCAGCAAATCCTTATCAAGAAAGGATGCGCATACTGCGTAGAAAGAAACATGCCTTCTGGTCAGCACGCAGGTGCTTCTTGAGTTTTGTTTTTGTTTTAATGTGGTTATAATTGTTGCTAAGTAATTCCATGGCAAACTCTCCATTAATTATAACAAAATTAATTCGATGATTTCTGTACTCGGGGGATATCTGTTACTACAGTGATCTGACACAGGAACGAACGAGGGAGTGCTGTTCATGTTGAACCACCTGACCTTCCCTGCTTACACTGCACAACCCACATACTGGGGGCCAACCACCCAGAGTACTGCATGAGACCGCATACGTTGCAATTCCCTTCTGGTCTGGGCAGATGTTTAACTTAGAAGCTTCTACTTTTAGAATTATTTTTTGTCCAGATACTTTCAGTAATCTGTAGTTTCAGGTGATGACGCTGAAGGCTGTGGCAGGCCCTGCTGTGCCATTAACTGGTGTTTTACCCTCACCCTGCTGCCATCTGAAGCACTAGTTACAGTACTCAGCTCTGCAGTAACAGCGTAGGTAACAGAAGGTCACATATTGTAATAAACAGACAACAGCTGAAAATTCACCCTTGTTTACCCATTAAATATAAATCAGTGGACTAACCACTAAGATTTACATCTCCAGGGATAAGGTTTCTGTACGTCTTTCTGCTTGGAAACACTGTCCACAAAGGGTTTGCTCATATATTTGGAAGTCCAGGCCCCAGATAAAGCAGGGGGAAGGGGCAGGCAACATGAAATGGTCTTTAGGCACATGTAGAAACTCTGCAATACACATAGGAGCAGGTCTGACACAATCTGGATGCCCTGGAGTCTAGGTAAGTCTGCACCAGCCATCTGCACAGCCCATATGCAAGAGAAACCCCAAACAGAAATAATAGTCTGTGTTTAGAGGGAGCGACTTCTGTTCTGGCAGATTTGCACTTGACATGACACTCCAACACTGGCATTTAGAAGAAGACTGCAGTAGAAAAAAAACCTCTCTTCACAGACAGTTTGTTCACATCAGCTTTTGAAAAGTTTTCTTATGAAACAAATATAAACGCAAAGAATCACTCTCTGCACTGGGCCTTCTCTTCAAACATCTAGTTTTTCAGAGCAAGACCACTTCCTACAGAAAGACAGTGAGCTTCATCTGAGGTGCGGTTGCAAACCAAGCCAGCAATAGAGCTGAAAGGAAATACCCCCATACAGATTCTGCGATCTACTGGTCAGACCACTTCTTCACTGTCCTGTAACCAAGTGTAACTGGTAGACTCCCAGAACGAAGACAAAAAGTCCACGTTCCATAATCACTTTTACCTGCCTCTCACAGGTACACTTACAAAGAATGGCCGATACCATGGTACCTGAACAAAAAATACAAGAAGAGGAAATTCTATTACTTACCTCATGTGGATCGCTTCATCAGGTAAAAAGATTTTTTTGACATTGAAAGTTATGTCCTGGTTTGTTCCTCAATCCTGCTTAGTCGACTTTGCAAGGAAAACACAGCAGTAATCTTGTTTTTACAGCCAGGAGACTGAATATAAGGCTTGTTAAAATTACAGCTTACTCTGTTTCTGTCTTAGTCATTAAGAGACTTGATTATCTATGAAGTTACATACAGATTACATAAGATCCTCCCAGAGGTTGAATTTCTGTAGAATTCAAAAGCAGAAGGAAAAAAAAAAAGAATGTGCTTTGCAGGCATTTTTGGTTATCAAAAGCAAATGAACACTGAAGTTGCCAGTCATTGGGAGCCTCTATTTGATTAAGGGCGTGAGCTCATTAAGGTCGTTACAACCTGTCTAGAAATTACCCACACTGACTTCTTTATTTCAGGCTCAGACTTGAAAAATCTTTACGTAGAAGGGCAAGAAAGAAAAACCTGGAGAGGACAAGGCAGAAGGTCTTGGAAAGCAAGTTCCCTCACCTTGCTGCGAAATCTCAGAGGCAGTAACGTGGAGCGCTGCAGGCAGTTGGTTGAGTATCTCTGTGACTGGAACATGAAACAAGTTCTGGAGCCAGTGAACAAGTCAACTGAGCATTCCTGAGAGTCTCCATCTTTTTTTTTTTTTTCTTTAATCCCACATCTGACCTAAATTAAACTTGTGATCTGGAATTAAAAAGCAGCTTTGATGTATAACTCAATCCTAACAGTTGTTTCTAGAAACATTTGAAAACTGACATATTACCCAGCTACTGTGAGACACACATCAGTAACAGTAACAAGCAGCAACTGCCTGCCAGATGAAAGTATGAAGCGTAGGGATGATATTTACCTAGTTTAGTTTAACAAAAATGCATTCAAACCAGACAAGCGTGAGAGCCTCTGAAGCTCACATACCAGTCTTTGCTCCCTGGTCATCTAAGTTATGGGTACATCACCTGAGCTACAAGTGCTTTCTGCATAGAAGCATGGGAAAATACACCCTTCAGTCTGTTACAAGGAACTTTCTCCCTGCTTTGCCCGGCTTGTTAGAAAGTCTGAAATATTTAGCATGTGAAATTTGAACAAGGCAGTCTCTATACCTAGATTTCTAGACATCTATGCCAAATTCAAATGTTTGTGCAATGTTTTTTTTGCAGCATGCAGAATGTTTGAAGGAAGACTGGTAATAGTCTTCTGTGAAACTGATGCAGAAAGATACTGCTGCTGCTCTTGGTTGATGGTAAACACTTTCTTCATGAAAGGTTTAACCTTCAGATGAGGTTGTGGAGAAATTTAGAATAGTGCCACAAATGCTAGTCTTTCAGGAGCAACTGTGCTATGCAGTATCATCTGATAAAATACTGGAAAGTTCAGGGGAACCAAAACTGTAGGACAGACATATCTCCCTCATCTTGACCTTCAGCTACTCCTCTGCATCACAAAAAATACCCACTTAAACAGAAACTCTTTACCGTGGTGAGAAAACCCCAGAAAGTGTTTTGTTCTCCATATGGTGCTAGACATGCACGGATGCTACCATCACACTGCAAGGCTTTTCAGAAGATACACAGAAGATAAAAGTTGATTAGACATAGTGAAACCTAAGCATATCACAGAAGGACAGCTTAAAATTCATAGTCAATTCACGAAGAGAAACCAGAAAAGCCTACGTTATATCTTCATCTCTAGCTACAAGCTGTCCAGCCAGTGTTAGTACTTCACTGATGCCACAGTAACTCCATGAAGCGTTACTCCTTGCTGTGTGGCGAGATGCCACTTCAGCTGACATTCCACCTGAACACAAACTACTTTTTCTTCCAGTAAACAGCTGGTGACTTACATCACCTATTGCAGCTGACTTGGTTTGCCACATTTGGGAGAGAAACACAGTTTCCAGTAGCTTTCAAAATCCAAAGCCAGCAGCTCTGTCTCAAGAGGAACTCATGGTTATCATGATAGACAAAAGCAGGCTGTTTTGATAAATTACTTTATTGTTTGGAGGTATGTGAAACTGTTTTCAACTAGAGGCCTCATCATTATTTACCCACAAGGTCTTCTAGGATATGAAAAATGTAGCAGTACTGTTTACATTTATTTTTTTTTAAAAAAATCAGTTAAATGCTATTTGGTTTTCCACAGCTTTTAAGATGAGGAGCAAAACTTCATTGCGTCCCAACACAGAACATCACACAGTTGTAAATTAAAGTAAGCTTAACAGCAACGTAGAGCTGCATCCT